ATTGGAAGTGCTGTGAGGGTGCTTGGGAACGTAGCGGGACTGGCCTAAGCCTAGTGTGCAACGCCTTCAGAAGCGCTGTGAGGGTGCTCGGATTTGTAGCAGGACCGACTAAGCCAAGCATTAACGCCTTCGAAAGCGTTGTGTGGGTGCTTGGGTTCGTAGCAGGACTGGCCTAAGCCTAGCGTCTTATGCCATTGGAAGTGCTGTGAGGGTGCTTGGGAACGTAGCGGGACTGGCCTAAGCCTAGTGTGCAATGCCTTCGGAAGCGCTGTGAGGGTGCTCGGATTTGTAGCAGGACCGACTAAGCCAAGCATTAACGCCTTCGAAAGCGTTGTGTGGGTGCTTGGGTTCGTAGCAGGACTGGCCTAAGCCTAGCGTCTTATGCCATTGGAAGTGCTGTGCGGGTGCTTGGGAACGTAGCGGGACTGGCCTAAGCCTAGTGTGCAACGCCTTCGGAAGCGCTGTGAGGGTGCTCAAATTTGTAGCAGGACCGACTAAGCCAAGCATCCAACGCCTTCGGAAGTGTTGTGTGGGTGCTTGGGTTCGTAGCAGGACTGGCCTAAGCCTAGCGTCTTATGCCATTGGAAGTGCTGTGCGGGTGCTTGGAAACGTAGCGGGACTGGCCTAAGCCTAGTGTGCAACGCCTTCGGAAGCGCTGTGAGGGTGCTCAGATTTGTAGCAGGACCGACTAAGCCAAGCATTAACGCCTTCGAAAGCGTTGTGTGGGTGCTTGGGTTCGTAGCAGGACTGGCCTAAGCCTAGCGTCTTATGCCATTGGAAGTGCTGTGCGGGTGCTTGGGAACGTAGCGGGACTGGCCTAAGCCTAGTGTGCAACGCCTTCGGAAGCGCTGTGAGGGTGCTCGGATTTGTAGCAGGACCGACTAAGCCAAGCATCCAACGCCTTCGGAAGTGTTGTGTGGGTGCTTGGGTTCGTAGCAGGACTGGCCTAAGCCTAGCGTCTTATGCCATTGGAAGTGCTGTGCGGGTGCTTGGGAACGTAGCGGAACTGGCCTAAGCTTAGTGTGCAACGCCTTCGGAAGCGCTGTGAGGGTGCTCGGATTTGTAGCAGGACCGACTAAGCCAAGCATTAACGCCTTCGAAAGCGTTGTGTGGGTGCTTGGGTTCGTAGCAGGACTGGCCTAAGCCTAGCGTCTTATGCCATTGGAAGTGCTGTGCGGGTGCTTGGGAACGTAGCGGGACTGGCCTAAGCCTAGTGTGCAACGCCTTCGGAAGCGCTGTGAGGGTGCTCAAATTTGTAGCAGGACCGACTAAGCCAAGCATCCAACGCCTTCGGAAGTGTTGTGTGGGTGCTTGGGTTCGTAGCAGGACTGGCCTAAGCCTAGCGTCTTATGCCATTGGAAGTGCTGTGCGGGTGCTTGGGAACGTAGCGGGACTGGCCTAAGCCTAGTGTGCAACGCCTTCGGAAGCGCTGTGAGGGTGCTCAAATTTGTAGCAGGACCGACTAAGCCATGCATCCAACGCCTTCGAAAGCGTTGTGTGGGTGCTTGGGTTCGTAGCAGGACTGGCCTAAGCCTAGCGTCTTATGCCATTGGAAGTGCTGTGCGGGTGCTTGGGAACGTAGCGGGACTGGCCTAAGCCTAGTGTGCAACGCCTTCGGAAGCGCTGTGAGGGTGCTCAAATTTGTAGCAGGACCGACTAAGCCAAGCATCCAACGCCTTCGGAATTGTGTGGGTGCTTGGGTTCGTAGCAGGACTGGCCTAAGCCTAGCGTCTTATGCCATTGGAAGTGCTGTGCGGGTGCTTGGGAACGTAGCGGAACTGGCCTAAGCCTAGTGTGCAACGCCTTCGGAAGCGCTGTGAGGGTGCTCGGATTTGTAGCAGGACCGACTAAGCCAAGCATTAACGCCTTCGAAAGCGTTGTGTGGGTGCTTGGGTTCGTAGCAGGACTGGCCTAAGCCTAGCGTCTTATGCCATTGGAAGTGCTGTGCGGGTGCTTGGGAACGTAGCGGGACTGGCCTAAGCCTAGTGTCCAACGCCTTCGGAAGCGCTGTGAGGGTGCTTGGATTTGTAGCAGGACCGACTAAGCCAAGCATCCAACGCCTTCGGAAGTGTTGTGTGGGTACTTGGGTTCGTAGCAGGACTGGCCTAAGCCTAGCGCCCCATGCCTTCGGAGGCGCTATGCGGCTGCTTAGGTTCGTAGCGGGACTGGCATAAGTTTAGCGTCCCATGCCATTGGAAGTGCTGTGCGGGTGCTTGGGAACGTAGCGGGACTGGCCTAAGCCTAGTGTCCAACGCCTTCGGAAGCACTGTGAGGGTGCTTGGATTCGTAGCAGGACCGACTAAGCCAAGCATCCAACGCCTTCGGAAGTGTTGTGTGGGTACTTGGGTTCGTAGCAGGACTGGCCTTAGTATAGCGTCCCATGCCATTGGAAGTGCTGTGCGGGTGCTTGGGAACGTAGCGGGACTGGCCTAAGCCTAGTGTGCAACACCTTCGGAAGCGCTGTGAGGGCGCTTGGATTTGTAGCAGGACCGACTAAGCAAAGCATCCAACGCCTTTGGAAGTGCTGTGTGGGTACTTGGGTTCGTAGCAGGACTGGCCTAATACTAGCGTCCCATGCCATTGGAAGTGCTGTGCGGGTGCTTGGGAACGTAGCGGGACTGGCCTAAGCCTAGTGTGCAACACCTTCGGAAGCGCTGTGAGGGCGCTTGGATTTGTAGCAGGACCGACTAAGCCAAGCATCCAACGCGTTTGGAAGTGCTGTGTGGGTACTTGGGTTCGTAGCAGGACGGCCTAATACTAGCGTCCCATGCCATTGGAAGTGCTGTGCGGGTGCTTGGGAACGTAGCGGGACTGGCCTAAGCCTAGTGTGCAACGCCTTCAGAAGCGCTGTGAGGGCGCTTGGATTTGTAGCAGGACCGACTAAGCCAAGCATCCAACGCCTTTGGAAGTGCTGTGTGGGTACTTGGGTTCGTAGCAGGACTGGCCTAATACTAGCGTCCCATGCCATTGGAAGTGCTGTGCGGGTGCTTGGGAACGTAGCGGGACTGGCCTAAGCCTAGTGTGCAACGCCTTCAGAAGCGCTGTGAGGGTGCTTGGATTTGTAGCAGGACCGACTAAGCCAAGCATCCAACGCCTTTGGAAGTGCTGTGCGGGTGTTTGGATATGTAGCAGGACCGACTAAGCCAAGAATCCAACGCTTTCGGAAGCGTTGTGTGGGTGCTTGGGTTCGTAGCAGGACTGGCCTAAGCCTAGCGTCCCATGCCATTAGAAGCACTGTGTGGGTGCTTGGGAACGTAGCGGGACTGGCCTAAGCCTAGTGTCCAACGCCTTCAAAAGCGCTGTGCGGGTGTTTGGATTTGTAGCAGGACCGACTAAACCAAGCGTCCAACGCCTTCGGAAGTGTTGTGTGGGTGCTTGGGTTCGTAGCAGGACTGGCCTAAGCCTAGCGTCCCATGCCATTAGAAGCACTGTGTGGGTGCTTGGGAACGTAGCGGGACTGGCCTAAGCCTAGTGTCCAACGCCTTCAAAAGCGCTGTGCGGGTGTTTGGATTTGTAGCAGGACTGACTAAGCCAAGCGTCGAAAGCCTTCAAAAGTGTTGTGTGGGTGCTTGGGTTCGTAGCAGGACTGGCCTAAGCCTAGCATCCCATGCCATCGGAAGCGCTGCGCGGGTGCTTGGGAACGTAGTTTGACTGGCCTAAGCCTAGTGTCCAACGCCTTCGGAACCGCTGTGCGGGTGTTTGGATTTGTAGCACGCCCAACTAGGCCAAGAGTCCAACACCTTCGGAAGCGTTGTGTGGGTGCTTGGGTTCGTAGCAGGACTGGCCTAAGCCTAGCGTCCCATGTCATCGGAAGCGCTGTGCGGGTGCTCGGGAACGTAGCAGGACTGGCCTAAGCCTAGTGTTCAACGCCTTCGGAAGCGCTGTGCGGGTGTTTGGATTTGTGGCAGAACTGACTAAACCAAGCGTCCAACACCTTCGGCAGCGTTGCGCGGGTGCTTGGGTTCATAACAGGACCGCGGCCTAAGCCTAGCATCCCATGCCTTCGGAAGCACTCTGTAGGTGCTTGGGTTCGTGGCGAGACTGGCCTAAGCCTAACATACCACACCTTTGGAAGCGCTGCGCAAGTGCTTCGGTTCGTAGTGGGACTGGCCTAAGCCTAGCATCTGGCATCAACTATGTTTCTTGAACTGGCTCGATTTGTTCCTTTGCACATGTTTTTTGCTGAATAAAGATGTTAATTCCCACCAGGGCTGCCAACCACGGGGAACTTTTCTAGATTAAGGTAATATTCAGCTCTGTGGGAATAAGGGAAACCTTGCTAGCTTGAGGGATTTTGAGCACCGTATATATCTGGAATTTTATAGGTCAATTGTGAATTTTTACCCGAAAAGCTAGAATGCCACTATTATGGTTGCATCTTTTGAGCATTGCATAAGTTTTTAGACGGGGGGGGGGGGGGGGATGGCAGACGGGCAGAGACAAAAATGGATGCCAATGCGCAGGTTCTATGTCTGCATCTCACAGGCATTGCACACGACGATAGACGGGGAAATAGCAGACAATGCCGCGTCTCCTCGTACAACTAGCAGGCAGTGTCAGACGCCAGACTAGACGCACCGAATGTCACGAAAGGGAGACACTAGGCTTGTTTGCATGTTCAGCCGAGCCAATCCAGTAGTAATGAGGGGGGCCACTGATCTGTGGGCGGGGCTTAGAGAGAGCTGTGACCTCCACCTAAATTGCGTCTAACACAAATATTGCGCGAAAATTGTTATTATTTCGTGAAAACGTTACTTAAAAAACTGTGTCTCATTTATGCCCTTTAAAAAAATTTCCTTTTCATTTCAGTGTTTTTTTAAGTGCCAATGTCAAGATGAACCCAGTTTTCAGTAAAAGTGGGGTGAGAGCTCCTACGTTATTTCACAATACTCAAAAGAGAAGTAAAAGTGCAATAGAATTCAACAAAACTACTACATCTATGAAGGAGAGGAAAAGATTTGCCCTTTGAACAAGGAAGGTTAATAGAAAACCATACTCACAACAGAATTTGTCTTAAGGTGCTCCTCGAAGCTGCTCTTCATTTTAGAACTGAAAGTGAATGAGCATTCACACACATGACAAAGGCAACTTTCTAACGGCATATTGCATCCGTCCAAGACTACCGCAGCTTACATGTATGCAATACCCATCCCCGAGACAAATGAAACTGCCTTCAAGAAGAAATCAGGCGTAAAACAAGTAGAAAGAAAGAAGTGTGATGTGATGAAATGCATTACTTTCGATTCAGTATTTTCCCAAGTTTTACCATTATTCTTTTAAACCTCAGTCACAAATATCAGTTGCTGTTTTTTTGTGTGTAGTTTCCAGAAGCACATTTGTTTCTTGAGCCGTGTTTGATGACTTGAGTTAGGATAAATCAAACTTGTTGTAAGCATTTTTTTTAGTGACCTTTTTGGTAACATTGCTGTACACTCAGGGTCACTTGAGCGCTTCTCGAATTTAGTTTCTCGACTTGTCCGTGTTGAAGTGTTTTGCATCAATAACTTATGGAGGAGATCCACTAATTATAGGAAATTTGGGGATTTTGTGGATTATCGTAATCCTGGCCATGGTCATAGGGCTCACTCGATGTCAAGCTACCCTCGTGTTGGCTTCATTTTTGTTCGAGAAAGAAGGGTGGGGATGGTGGGGGGGCTTTTTTAGTTTTCTTGAAAAGTCATAGTGTATGTTGTTCTTTGACCTTGCCTGTTCAAAAGGGTGAGGTTGAGGTTATAAAAAGGGGGATTTTTGGCAGGATCGACACAGCGCAAGCGGCTATCTGGTTGGCCCTCGGCTCGCCATGTCCCCTGCTGCTTCGTCGTGAGTGTGCTTCTTTTTAGACGGCAGCCCTAAGGCGCCTGTTTCCGGCTTGAGCGGCGTAGGCGTCGCCGTCGGGTGTAACCGTGCGTTGCATGGTGGGAAACGTCCCATAATAATGTAAGCGAACATTGCTGACTGGGAAGGAAAGTCGTCCATGTTTCATCGCCCCTTAACGTCATAAGTTCAACAGATCCCAAAATACCAAAAGAAAATTTTTCAAAATTTTTTTTATCACATTTTTAAAGTTAGTTTATTCTTTATTTTCACCAAATTTGCTCTCAATTTTAGGTGGGTTATCTCTTGGGATATTACGCCAACTTTTTTTTCTTCCCTCAAACTGCTTACGTCTACCGTATTTACTCGAGTAATAGCCGCACTGTTTATAAAGAAAACCTGAGGGTCAGCTTTTCTGCGGACATCCAATCACCGCAATCGACAGCATGATTCCAGCGGTTTACAGGACGGAGATAATGTCTTTGTGCAAAGATACCATCTGTGAAGGTTTCATTTGTATGGAGACTCGTGTTCTTGATTTAGTTATTCGCTATGTTATTTATGCGCAACGCGATAAGTGGCTGTATATGTGCCCTGCAGGAAAGTAGACACAAGGGCCTTGTGCATAAATAGTGCGGCTATTACTTTAGTAAATACGGTAATTTCTCTGAGGGCAGTTTCGTTCATCTCAAGAATCAGGCTATCGCATATATTTTTCAAGAAAATCTAGAAACATCCGACAAGCTTGTTTAATTCTTAGTGAAACCACCCAAAATTACTGAAAAGTTGGTATGCAGCAAATCAAGAGCTGTTGCATCTGCTCTTCGGTTCTAATTCATTGACATCATACAATATATAGCCTGCGTAACAGTGTGAGTGTAGCATTCCTTTTTTTTTTTTAATCTATAGTCGTTAGATAGAACAGGTAGAACTACTACTACAAGAAAGTCATACTAAAGGTTTTTCTTGCTTGTCTAAAACCACCTCTACAACTACCGATCCAAATCATGCATCTTGCTACGTACGCAATAGTTGTGCAGCTGCGTATGTGTGTCCAGCAAAAGCGTAACAAAAGTGAAAACGAAGAGTGGAATTAGTGCACCTCGCTAAAATGATGGAGCAAAAGTAAAAACAAAAATATCTTCCCCTAAATTTTTTAGGCAATCTTTCAGCGACGCAAGTTCTCGGACATGCACTGCAACTCATTTAGAGATGCACTAAAGCAGTTTCTAACTCTACCTTAATATTGGGTAAAGATTACCTCCCTAACGCAAAAAGTCTAAAAATTCACAAATTACTCCTACATGCTTCTATTTTCTAACACATGCAGTCGAACTCGCACCCTTTCCCACCACTGCACCAACCTAAGGAAAGCCAATGAATCCTTAATTTTCTTTTCACAGCAAAGAGGAGGAAAAGGATGCTCCTTTCATCAAGCATTTTATATACAGGTGGAGTGTTTATGCAAATAATTTGATGGTTTTTAGACCTTGTGAAGTAGCGAGTAAACTGCTTTAATGCACCTTCAAGGCAAGAGCATGCAAAGAAATGGCTCAAGTTTACTAACAGGTCTTTCTATTTTGCGTGCATAGTTACAAAAATTGCAAGGGCTGTCTGAAGAATGCCGACAGCATTTTAAGTTTTAGTTTACTTTCGCTTCTAGAAGAGTCCTCAGGGCTAGGCAATGATGCGCTATGCTCAGTAAAGTTGCGCCAACACATTCGAACTAGTATTTCAAAACATTTTACACCTTGGCCAGCAAAGGAAAACGCAGCACAGGCAGACTTTGGCGTATTTAAACTGTAACTCAAAACAACTTTAAATGATGACTTAATTAAAACAGTAACTTAAATAGTTTTCATTAAAACAATTATTTTATGCCTTTGATATATAGGAATACGAAGAAGTGTTTAACAGTATATATGCCCAGCCCCGAGAGACCCACAGTATGTACAAACTATTATGCGCAACAGCGTTTCTGCTATGAGTCCTTGCCAAACACTATTCTTTTTTAGAGACACATCAAAAGAACCAAATTACAACTACACTCAGTTACATTAGACCCTTTTACATTTCTTTCTGCACATGCATGTTTTCTCCACTATACAGTGCTACCCCACATGCATTGAGAACACATATTATAAAAAAAAAAAAAAAAAAAAAAAAAAAAACTCTCTTAAAGCGGCACCAGTCAAGCAAGTGTCAGGCATGTGAGAAAAACCATTTGACACAGTGCAAGTGATCATACCTGTCCAATCCGGAAGCTGTGGATAGCATCGTCAAATAAAGCAAAATTCACAGGCTTACGACTCTGTCCTTTGAGCTGGCTTCATTCACCACATCATAACGAGAGAACAGAGCTGACTTAAAGTTCCCATCACTGCAACACTCCCAAATACACTGGTGTGCCTTCAAAACGTGTTGCATCACAAACCATCACCAACTACCACCAACCACCACCAAGAGATTCTGCACACACCATTCATTAGGCATGTAATCATATATTTTCTGCAGCCCTTTTTTTTCATCAAACGCATCACGAATGGCACGTTTGAAATGAAACGCCTGCACAATAAGAAACTCTTTCGGGGGCTAAAGAAAGGAAAGTTTGCCAAGATCGAAGTAGATTTAGACTTGACTCAGTTTGGGAACAAACAATGTGCTCTACGCCTCACAATAAATACCGAGCTGCTCCGGGCGAAGGCTATGGAATAGGCCCTTTTTGAAAGTCAGTCTACCCACCCTGTGTAGAACCAAACCAGATGCTCTAAGGGCGGCACTACACGACTTCTTCACACCAGAAAAAGCGAATGTTTTCGAAAGCATAAAGCAGAAAGGGGAAAAGGTGTTGGTTCTTTTACGTCACCTTTGATTCACAAAATCAAGGGTGCTTTATTTAGCTGAGCACGACCTCCTATCAGCGGCAATATTGGGAGCTGTTGGGACTGCCACAAGGTGACTCGGACTTTCGAAAAGGGTCTATTGCATGTTCTTAAGTCACATCATACTTAGATAAAAAAAATTTCATTCATAATTTTTACAATTTCTTGGCATGGCACATTAAATAGCTGGCAGCAATATTCCCTCAGAAATAGAAACTTATTAGCCCTTTCAAGCACCGCCGGCTGTTTATCTTGGACTACATTTTCTTCATTAGAGAAGAAACTTTTCACTAAAAGTTTCTTCAGACATTTTGACTGCCAGATATACAGTACAGAATTCCCCTAAAATTGTTAAAATGACTCGATATACCATACTTTCCGGACTATAGCCCGCACCCATTGCATAGTCCACAGAGGGAAATTTGGGGTCAAAAATACACGTGCTTAGATAGTCTACATTTAGTGCCTAGTCCGAACGTAAAAATGATCCTACACAGCACAACTTGACAAATGCCTGCTGTATTAGCTCACAAAGAAGCTTGGATCATATAAAAATCAACATGAATATACTTGGTTATTCATAAAATCCTTTAAGCGTTGTCACAGTGAACGATCTAGAGAAAAACAAATTGTTGATAGTCCGCACCTGTAGACAGTGCGTACCGGGTAAAATGTAAACTTCTAAACATGTATAGTCTGCAAACTATGGTCAGGAAATTATGGTACAATATATTCCTGAAAAAAAGTAAGGGTTTTAGATGTGCAGATTTGTGTACGCAGCATTTGAAAGGGTTCAAACAAGTTACGTACCATTCAGCCTGCAATGGGTAAAGGCCGCGAGTCGAATGTTACTTTTGCGCCTGGCTGCCATCCTAAATGACATTCCGTTGAACGCTATTCACAAAACATCACTAAATTTTGCTAAGCTGTTATTTTGCCACCGACAATAAGACATTAGAAATGTCTCTGGGCCATTCCCACTACATACAGAAAAGGGCAAAGGTCAAGCGTAATGTCTCGCACAAACTTGCTACATCCAGGTTGAAAACATATTCTATGTTAAAACTTGGGCAGCTAAATATTTTAGCAATGGGGGGACAATTGATTCCTCCAATATAGAGCATCATGAAGGTTACAGGCATGAAGTTAGCATGAAGTTAAAGGCTCGGCTTGAAAGGAACCGGCTCCTATGCGTTGTTGCTAGTGCGGTAGCAGCAACTTCAGGGACTGAGGGCCCACTCATATATCCGGTCCTGGTTACACAAAATTGGTTGTGGCACCACCCTTATGAGCAGCACAACCATTTCCAATAGGAAAAGGCTCCGTTCAATCTACATTCCCCCGTAGTAGGACCTTCAATGCGACGAACACAGCTGAGAAGTCGCATGCAGCAACCATGTAATCCAGTCGCCCAGTTTTCATTGAGGTATACATCCCGATATTGTCATTACCTCAATCCAGTGCCACCGCCCAACGCCAAATTATTAGGGATGCGAGAATATAAAAAAGGTTTGAATATGAATCTAACGAGTTGCACGAAAAAGTGAACCTGAATTCGAATAAAATGTGCACGAAATAAAAAAAGCGGCAAATATTTTAGACGGAATGTTCCATGCTTGAGTGTTTGACACTCCGTCAAATGTTGGACTGCGGCCGGATTTTTGCGAAGTGCCGTATAGGAAATTAGCGAGTCGAGCGAAATATAAAAAATTTTCCATTCACGTTCTAAATTTCGAATATTCGCACATCCCCGCAAATTATAGAACCTAGGTTCGGTCGGTTGGACACACAGACCCATCCTTCGCAGCGTTCTAATAATTACATTCCCATCCAATCCTATCATTGGTGCCTCAAATCAGAGCAAACGGCTCCGGCGTTCCGCCAACCTTACACTGCTCACCCCCGGACAGAGAACCCGAAACCTGATGCGTCCTGCAGAGAAAAAGGGGAAGGACCCACCTCACTAAGCGCCCCGAAGAGGAGTCGTCGGAAGAAGATGAAACGTTCTGGAGGAATTTTGGCTGCGTGCGACAGACACGGAGGACCCGTTAGTGTACGTCACAGCCGCAGCCCCATGCACACACAGGGCAGACCACACTTAAGGACAAGACAGGCGTCCTCTCCGGAGGAGCACCTCGCACAAAGAGCCAAGACATTGAGGTTAGGCCCTCAAGCAAAGAGAAGCAAAGGATTCCCAAAGCTCGGATAAGCCAACACCCCCTATACTCCGTTTCTCATTGCAACGAACCACGAAGGTTGAAGCCAATCCAGTACCACGGTGGCACATAAACTTTTGTAAAAGCCGGTTCACAGATTTGTGTCTGACCGTGACTGAGCGTGCCGTGATCTCTCGTAACCGCTTAACAGGCTGGTGCCATCTATTAGGTATACCTGAGGCCCCTGTAACCTGAGCACAACTATACTCGTCTTCACCTCGAGAACTGTAGTAAAAAAAGGTAAGACGCCTCGCACAGCACTACCGATCTACCCCTTTACGTGTAGGGTTAAGATATACGTACAGTCGCCGACCGATTTTTCGGAGCTCGTGGGGCTGAAAAAGCGTACGAATAAGAAAGCAGTCCGAAATTTCTGCAGATTACAGAACTTCGCTTTATTGAGCCTAAGCAGGCTTAAAAAAGTCGCTCAGAGTAAGTTGTGTCATGTTACGCATGCGGGCAATCGTGTCCGTTTGAATTCGCTTCAGCTTGATGTTCTCACCCGGCGGAGGTGCAAGAAGAGGCCATGAGGTCCAAAGCATGCATCGACGCGGGGCAGAACAACGAAATTGCGAGGCATTTGGGTGCGAGTTTCAGAAGCTGTCAACAGCACACTCCACACTTAAGGATGGAGACTGGCACGAAAACAGAAGAAAAAGTTGGTTGGAGATGGAAAATTGACAGCAAAGAAACCGAGACAATGACGACGACCCGTATAAAAAAAACAAAATACATAGTATAGCATGCCTAGCGTCTGGTTCGGCGGCGCTAAAATAGTCCTGTCAAACCTACCCCATCCATCTGAAACATCGAGCGAGCCCAAGGTCGAGCCAGCCAAAAATCTAAGATGGCAGCCTCTCGGCGGCCGTCATTGTTAAATATTTTAGTCTGAAAAATCAAACTTTCGGATTGCAAATTCTCTGAAAAATTGGCTGTTAATATGTACTATTTCAATTGGGCGCGTCACGGTTGCTCCCCGATGTCTGAAGTAACGAGCAAATACCAATTCTCGGCGTCTGAAAAATCGGTCAGCGAGTGCAAGTGCATTTTAGAGCAGATATATGTTGTTAGCAAGACGTGCACATTTTGAGCACCGAAAGCGTCGCTTCTTCCTTCGACAACCAAATCTTGTAAGAATTACCTTGCGCGGCGTATGAAGGAAAATGAGTATAGAATAAAGGTTTTGAGTGAATTTGTGACAGATGATGCCAGTGCACAAAACGGTTTCAAGGGATCCCTGTGTGCTCAGTCACAGACAAACACAAGTGCGAGAAGCAGATTTCAGGGCGCAGCGACGCGCTGGATGCTCGTAAGGTGGCACGTTCCCGGCGCTGTGGTCCAATTTTGGTCGAAGTTGGAGCGAGTCTTCTGGGCCACTGACTGGACATGGGAAAAACATTTCTTTTCTTTTCAGGGGCCCTTTAATATTCTTTTATCCCACCCGCCGATGTGGATTTGTGTACGGCAGCAAAACGTGAGATTTGCAAACGAAGGGTGGGTTGTCAACGGCCTCAGACGCGAAATAGCAGACGATCGCAATTTCTGCCTGCGGCTTATCTCACTTTACCTCGGCAATCAATTTGTAGCAGAAAATAAACTTTTTTTTTTAATGTCTGTAAGTAGGCGACGTATTATATTTTCTCGTTTTAATTTCGTCCGTGAATGACACTCCGCAGCAGACGAACTGCATATTTGGCTCGCATTAGCGGACAAACCGCCTACGAACGCCACCTGAGCTCGCTCTGCAAGAGGCAAATTAGATCTCGCTCTCACAGCGAATAAAATCGGACTGGCATGGCTCGTAACATCTTCTGCGGTCCGTTGCAAGGACAAATGGAGTGCACACAACAAGTCCGCAGTGCCGAATTTTCTATGTCACCTAGAAGAAGCCAGCACGAGGCAGATCACACGCGATTGCTGCGTCGGCGTTCGGCCGAGATGCACTTTCTTGCTGATTGAACATGGGTCCCAGTCGAAAACTAAGGTAGCGCACGCGTCCAATCTACGCTTCCCGCTGGTCTCCGCTGGGTGACTTAAAAAACCAGGCGCCACGGTCCTGTTGTCTGGGAGGTGTTGGTTGCGCTCCTGGCATTCCCACATGCCCAGTGGTAGACAAAGCCCGGAGGAAAGACGAGGCGGGAGACGATGGCCTACCCTTTCGGTCTGAACGGCGGCATTGGCCCTCCCTGGTTCTTTCTCCGTGCTTGCTATGTTCATGTATTTGGTCTGCGGGGAAAAAGGAAAAATATTACGAGGGTCTTAGCTTTCTTTTCAAGCATTAGGGCACAAAATAAAAAGGTGCACAAGGTAGGAAGCTTGACAGAAAGCAACACTTTGACGACAATTGTATCACTTCCATGAACGAGGTCTGCGACCTTGCCAGCAAGTGCACTAAATGCCCTCGCAAACTCTCCGAACAAGTGTTGGTTATGAATGCGCTTTATCAAACTCAATATGATGTATCCGTGGATCACTAATTCACTGGAGTCTCTAATTGTGAGAGGCCTCCTCTATGACCGTTACACATAAAGTAGATCCGAAAACTTCACACTATAAATCGTTTGAAAAATTTCGTGACACCTAAAATGGAGGCGCCTCAAAGCTGTGTGCAGGTGCTGTGGCAACACTGCATCAGTCACCACTAACACAATGATGTCGACATTATTTCAAGCACTTGCATTCTGACCGCTAATCGGCAGCTACACGGAGGATTTCTTTTCATTACAACATGCAGCTTCGCAAACAGAAAGGCACGAAGGACAATAATGGAAACAAGATATCTTCTGTGTCGTCAATCAATATGAAAAGCTATGAGCTTATTATTTTGGACAGCAAGGAAATGCACAGGAAAATTGCACACATGTATGAAACATTAAAATGCACTATAGATGAGAGATCTTAAAAATGTCTGTGGCGATACATTTTTGATTTTGTCAGGGAAGACAAGCTCTGAAAGGTGTTACGGGTCCCACAATTACCGTTGCAAAAAGACCCTTCAAAGACATGCGCACGTGCACACTCCTCACTTCCCCCATGATATGCTACGACGACGACGTCGACAGGCCCACAAATTTCAATAACAGCGCGAGCTTGATTCCGACCAACCCTCGTCCTTCTTTTCTTACCGAAGAGATCCGGATCGGTGCAAGAAATGGGTGATTGCGATTAAATGCGACGAAGGCAAATGCATCACCATTACGAAATTTACCAAGCTGTGCATGCACCAAATTCTAGCTTTGAGAAGCATTACCATGAACTGCATAATGTGCAGTAACCAAAAATGCAGAATCGTTAAGTTGTCCACAAAGAAACGTTGCCATCTCGAGCGATGACAGTTCAAGGTAGCTTTCAGCGCAGTGTGTGGCTACGCCGTTGTCACAATTGCAGTCACTCGACTTCGGGGTGGCACGGTACAGAATAAAGGGACACTGACAGGGTATTTATGTTCACCCAGGTTTTTATTTGAACATGACCCGTAAGAGCCCAACTATCCAGAACACAATTTGCAGCTAGAAATTCTTTTTTTTCTTCGCCCAAAAACAGCTGGTCGAAAATTGGCCAGTTTGTCGCGCTCACTCTCCTTTTTATGGTCAAGTCGCGTTCAAACTATGTGTACCAAATATATTCAAATTTGTGGGTCATCTAAGGAACACTGAATATTAAAAATAGAAAATATGAACCCCATCTTTGTGGCCTCCAAAACTCTCAAATATGTTGACCGAAAAAAAAAAAAAAAAATGTTGTGCAGATACATGTACATATGGCAACGAACCGCAGACTGGACAATGCGATGGCGGTGCATGACAAGCCACTGTCTCGACAGACTTGGGGCCGCTACTTCGTATCTGTAGATCGTAAAACCGGCCAATCGATCTTCAAGCGCAGAACATCGAGCAGAAGGGATAAAGGTGCGAAACAATCGCACGACAAACGGTTCACTCAACTTCATCATTGTCAATGTCTGCTTCAAATGCCTAAGTGGACAAAAATGACAAGCCGTCGGGTGTAGCCACGTGACTTCCGGCCATGAGCTTCCGTGCTCGTACTTTGGTATCGAGCAGTTAAGTTTTTTGGCTTTATTAAAACTATATGTCACTCTGCAACAGAATATTGATTACGTAGTCTCCTGACACCCGATTAAATCGCTCGACAAGAAAGAGAAAAGACAATTTTGGGGTGGAGTTAGTGTTTCTTTAACTATGTCGATCGCGAAGTGATCAGCAAATGCAGCCAAACTTCAGCTTTGTCAGAGACCATTGGGAGTCTCACCAAATTTGGGTGTTTTAAGTGACAAACGAACGAAGGGCATCTGGCACGTCCCAGCGGAGGACTGAGAATTAATTTCGACCACCTAGGGATCTTTTGACAGCATACTGAAATCTCTGCAAGCCTCTGTCAGATTGTGGGCACCTCGGCTTGAATTCGAACCTGCCACCTGGGGATCCATGGGCAGGAGCTTTGCCTCGGATCCAGCGAGGCGGCTCCCATTTGGAGTTCTGCACTTGCCACTCGCTACTGTACAGGCCACCACACCAATGGTGGCACCCGCAGTTGTACTCTCCAACATCAACCAAACACGGCATCTCACAGTTGCCAGCAAAAATTTTCGGAAGAGTCTATTAATTTAAAAAACGTGCAAGCAAAACAACACAAACTTTGTGGCAAAAGATTTTTTTCTGGAAAACACTGGTAAGAAAAAAGTTGTCTCATGTTGCGGCGAGAAAAGCAACACCCACCATTTGTTGCTGCAGTAGATGAATCGTGCGATCCTTGTCTTCCAACTGCTGCTGCCTCAAAATTAGCTGCCTCTTCAGGTCAATGTTTTCCTGAGCAGGAGAAAGAAAAGTCACTCTTAAACCATTCACCTACAAAGTGTGTCGTAGACATCCGTGCCGTATGTTCACTTCTGGCTTTCTTTTGAGTTATGCACTGGAACATGGATGAATGCCTACACAGCCTTCAAAGGCAATAGACCCCTTTTAAAATTCAGTGTGGTAACTTCAATTCCCATCATTATCGGAATAGTGGCTGATGAAGGAAGAAGTTGAAGACATACATCTAGGTAGCCGACAGGACACCTGTGAATTTGAGATCTTAGTACTCTGTGATGCACTAAAAAGGTACAAGCACTGCATCAACATTGGTTTCGGACTCTGGTCCAAACAATCTGTTGCAAAACCCCGGTTCTAAAGCACTTTGATGAGGTAAACATTTCCTAGTCTAAGGTTTTCACTGGGCTGGCACTTCATACTGACTGGTTATTCCTCTGTCACCTTCGAAACTGAAACGAATAAATATAGCATGGTTATGAATGGATTCTCGTCCGATGTTTACATACGAGAGTAACGGTGTTCAATGGAATACTACTTTCACTACCACTATTAGTAGTACAACCGAAGTTAGGCAATTGAAGCCACTAGATGTCACTGAATATTGGAAGGGGTCTAAAAATGCACAAATACCTAAGCAAAATAAAAGCCTTCAATGCCATGCTGTTATTTAATAGAGCAGGATTCGCACCGCAATAGAATAGTGCTAACGCGGTCAGGCAAAAAAGGTTCATACAGACATCTTCAAGATCCCTAAAGGCAAGCAGCAGTGCAAACGTTCTTGCCTGGAGAAGTTCGCTTGCATCCATGTGGTGAAACTCTGGAGTATCTCCAGTTGGAGTGCTGGTGAAGCCTGCTGGTGGGTCACTATTTGCCAAGGCATGGTAAAAGAAGTTCTGCAAAGCAGAAGGTTACAGTGTTTGCTCAGCTTATCATACTCAGAGCAGTTTAGTAGCTCACCCAGCCAAATAAAGCTTTTATTTCTCTGAACAAATATGAAAGCTACCCAGGAAATGAAAGCTGGACGGTTAAAGCTAGAGTTCAACAGAAATGCAGATTTAATCCATTTTCCTAGACTCATAGCTCACAGCATCCTTTCTCCTAAAATAAACCTTGTTGAAAAAAAAGAAAATAAAAAGAAGTGAAATAAGGCAATGAATTTGAATTTAAAGGGGATTTAAAAACCACTTGTCTGAAAAATGTGGGACTCAATAAATCGAGCCACTACTCCACAAATTCTTTTTAATATATTTTTTTTTTTTGTGAGGATTGATATGATTGTTTGCCATGACATACTTTGTGAGCTGAGGGCAAAGCTTGTTGACAAAGCCATGCATGAAAGTTTTTGTGTTTCTTAAGTAGAGAACTACTCCAGAGGAAACAAAGGTTCAAGAGTCACAAAGTAAGGCCTCAAGATGCGAAATCCGCAGTGCACAAAGGAAGTTAAAAAATTGTTTCACAGACTCTTTTATAAAAAAAAATATGATAAAACCTTATTTATGAACTGACCTCCTCTTTCTTTAGTTAGTTTCAATACTTTTGTTATAGACCTCTAATTCATTTTTTGTTACCGTGGCCATACATTGTGATTTTCATAGTTTAATCAGAGCACATTTTGTCCAACGTAATTTTGTCATTACTTGAAATGAAAAATATTCCAGCCATTTCAACACCTTACTTTAAGAAATTTTTACATGCACTTTAGGCAACACTGGTCTGATCAAGCCGACTCCATATTCATAAGCGAAACTACCAGCCCATAGGCAGGCTACACTTTCATCCCTAAAGACATTGGCAAGCTACAAAAAGTGTGCAAACATTGACATTCTTTTAAACATTATTTTGCTAGGTATTAGTTTTTAAACCTCAGGCCTTCATAAACCTGAACATTTGTTTCCTCCCTTGGACACATTCATAAGCGCAAAATCGCAAGAAACATTCACATATAGCTTTCGCTGCAGCCAAACCCGCAGTTTGCACCAAATGTTGCGTAGCATCTCGTCAATCAGTCAAAGACACAGCATAAACACAGGAAATATTATGACAATCTATTTACCTTGGTGTTAGTGACATCAAATGGATTCAAAGTTTCTGCCTGTAAAAAAGACAAATGACAAGAAAGATTGTTAAACAAACAGTTCATTGTAATCTTTTAGAGTAGCAATTGCAGAAGCTGAGAAGCATACTGTTCTTTTTTCGGTCAAATTTCAAATCTTTTTTCGGTCAAATTTCAAATCTTTTTTCGGTTAAATTTCGAACTGTGTATAAATAATAGTTAGAATATTAATATGAGAACATTAAACCCTGTAGTGTGCGTAGGAACGAGTCCAATCTCTACCAACAGCACCTGAAGTGTGTAAAAATGAATGGGTAGGTGTAACACTGAAGTGGCACACTCCATCTCCCAAGTTTTCCGAAATTGTATTACAGGGCAACTCCCCTCCATAGACCGATCTCATCAGCCAGTTTGACTATGCCACAGCTGCCGCAATGCATCAAGGGAACTTTAGTCTTTCTGAATGTGTGACAGCGTCACTGAAGCTCTGTGGAGCACGGGACAGTACGAGCCCTCTTGTGCACTGCCGTCAGCATCCTATGAACTAAAGTTACGGCAGCGTGCCGCATGCGCTGAACGCTCAGTGAAATTGGTCTATTCCAGAAATTTTTGATAATGAGTGATTTCACATTAAAAAGCTCTAATAAAAAGAACGAAGTCATTTGCTTTGCGAAAAAGGGCATATATATATAGTTAAATCTTACTTTAAACATGAGCAGATATCCAAACCGAAACTTCAACTCCATCCAGCAACATTAGCCTCAAGCTGCCAAAAACATGGCTATCACGTGACCCACTACGCAACGACAGGCAGGATCGGGGCAGGCCGGCAAGCCACTGTTGCAGTGGGCATGTGCCAAATGCTAGTCTCGTGCACACCGCACTCTTCACCACATTTCGGTGTCTGCGGCATTCGACGTCTGCACAACTGCGACATCAGTCTGCGCACGTAGCGTGAACGAAACTCCGAGAGAAAAAAATCAGAAACAGTGAGACGACGATGGCGGTTGTGACAGTGGGACAACCGGACGGCTCCAAAAAAGCGTGCTGGGCAGGCACATTACACCAATCACGTGGACACCGCTGACTGCGGAGAGGAAATGTTGCTGACATCACCCAGTACGTTTGTCCAAAGAAGTAAAAATAAACAAAAAGGGGCAATGATGATGATATTTATCTCAATGCTCCTTACACTGACGCCACAGCCTCGACTGTGCTGCTGGTTGCACCTCAATTCACCCGCTAGTCGGCCAATTTCGGCAACTTGGCGCGTTGCAAAATTCACCGGACCGTTTAAGAAACATTAAGACAGAACTAAGTTGTAATATTCTACATGTGGCCTTTCTCGGAGATACTGAAGAGGACTGCATGGTCCTTTCAAAAACAAAAATTAAACAGAGTTGCCCTTTAAAGGGACACAAAGAAAATTACCGCTCTGCCAAGCACATTTTTCCACCAATAACCAGAGGTGCCCCAACAAAGAACAGACAGCCGAGACGTCTGCCCACTATAGAGATCGCTACTCCACAAACCTACCATCCGCCCGGGACAAGCTTGGCCCTGCACACGATCAATCGTCCTCCTTTCTCACGCACCTCCCCCCTCGTGCACAGAAAGACGAGTTTGAGTCGACTTGCTCACAATGCGCTTCACGAGTTCCGTACCTTTCGTGTGTCAGAATAAATTGGCTTTCTCTATACCCTGTGCGGCGCTAGTAGACGCGAACAATTTTCGTGGAAAAATCTCTATATGTCTGGAGGGAATATGACGAGCCCGTTGGCGAGCCAGACGGTACGGGACGCTAAACATGAGGGTCTTTGACTGGCATGTTTAGCGTCCCGCACCGCAAGACATCGCGATCCCGGCGATCTCCACCCTCATGCCACCGCCGGGGCTGTGGCGGGCACGAGCAGGACACGAGTGTGACGTCGTCGGGTTGAAATTGAGACCAAAAAAGAGGTTGTGGTAATCGCGCCAGTCGTGAACACGTTCCAGGCACCGTAACATCGTCCAAATGCTGTATCCTCGTAGTTCCGACATTACGAGCGACCATTTCTCGTAAATTGTCGCTCTTAAATTCGCAAAATTCGATCCCGCAAATAACGCAAAACCTTCGGTCTGTAATCGACGACAGGTTAAGAACTCGTGACGACAGGTTAAGAACTCGTAAGAAGCTCCACCTCCGGAACGTGGTCATCGCCTTCCGTTAGGCCTTGGCCACTCGCATCGTCAAAGGTAGAAGGCTAGCGCTCGAGGCGGAACGCCCACAAAATTCTTAACCCGTCGCGGACTAAAGGTGCAAGTGGATGGGGTTTCCGGAGCCACCCGACGGACGGTGCCAGCACAGGAACCAGCCTCGAGCAAGGAAAAGGAGGTCCCTCACGTCCTGCAGCACCCGCTTGAGCTTGAGCAGCATGGTCTTGACGCCGTTCAGGTCCTGGCAGACGGAGCGGTACGAGGATGAGTCCAGCTTGATGCCCCCGTCGTCGCACTCCTGCATCACCATCTGGCGCGGGGGCCGCAACGGCAGGCTGATGGTGCGGGGCCGGCCCTCGGGGCCCGTCAGGGGGGTTTTCGGGGTCCACCGGGACGCCACGGACTCGGAGGCCCTCCGCAAGGAAACCCCCTCGCTGTTGACGCAAAAGGTTAGAGGTCGGGTGTCTCGTGGCATGTCGGCAACACTTAACGCATGCAGCACGACGCTGAGACAGCTTGAAGTCGTACCTGCATCAGCAATACTTTCATCGCGAAGTTAGCGCTGTATGCGTCAACGGGCCTTAGAGCTACTGGTTTATTTAGGCTGTTTTCAGTGCTTGAAATATGCTTCCGGCTAGACAACTGGAAGGTACAAAGGCTACCTCGAATAGGTTGCACCTTCGTTGCAAGGATGTGAAACACGGGTTCAGATCTGCAAGCTTTCGAGGAAGCAATCCAAACTAGCCCCGAACCCCTAGGTACCATAAACTCCTAGATACAAATGCCTCCGAAGTAGTGGAATGCCAATCTCACTTCTCGTATAATATCGTGCTCGGTTGTCTGCGCCAACGCCCGTCGTTGAAAACTTCAAAAACATCCTCATTTTCCCTGGGAACGTAGCTATGCTTCAAATTGATATGGTTAAAAACAAATCTGCTATTATAATACACCCTCGATAAAAATTCAACATTGTATTTGCAGGCGCAGATTTTCAAGAGCCTCATGGTCTAAAGGCCCGTTAACACACTTGCAACTGAGTAGGACGGAGAGAGACAAGACTGGTTTTTAAGCCTCTTGCGACGTCTTAGGACCAGATAAGCTGCTGCGGAGCTGGTCCTAAGACGTTGCAAGAGGCTTAAAAAGCGGTCTTGTCTCTCTGCCTCCCTCTTGGTTGCTTGTGTGTAAACAGCACTTAAAGGGGCCCTGCAATCATACTTAATCGTCTACCTTTTTTGTGGTTTCCCCGTCTTGGGGTTCGAGCAAGCCAGCAGGCACGGAGACAGTAACTAAATATCAGTGCATCACATTTTAACCGGACGACGCGGAAACCTCCTCCACCTATGGGAACAACCCGCTGTAACAAAAGCGCGCAAAATGTCATGTCTTTGGTCCTGGACTTACTACTGGTCAGAGCTGCTAAAAGCTTCTTTTTAGTCGAAATACAAAACATAAGTGGCGTGAACCGTTTCATAAATTTATAAAAGTAGTTTTTGTTCAGTATTTTAGATCAGAAAAGAAGCAAATGCAGTTTGTAAAGTACGGAAACAAGAAATGACCCGTCAACATACCCGCCACAAAGCGGTGGAAAAGGCGGCGCATACTAGAAAGGTGTAGTGGGATCAGACACCGACGAGCAGCGAGTGTAGAAAGGTCCCGGTGGTGGTGCTGCGGTTGTAAACGGATTAAGGATCCAACCGGTTTCGAGCATTCCGAAGGCCTTCGGCGAGCAGGTTTGGCTTGCGTATGGCCGTTTGGCGGTATGACAGTGTGAAGTGGCTCCTGTTGTGAACTGATCTTTACCCCGTGTTTGCTGTCGTTTGTGGCCAATGAAATGTCATGCCGAATTAGTGTTTAATCGCGCAGCAAATGCAATGCAAGCCGCCCTGGCTCCCCCGAGCCTATCCAGAACATGCTTTAGTGGCACCCTCTCGAGCCGTCGACACGGAGTGCGGCAGCTGTGAGCGCTTGCTGAGCTCACTACTCCTTTTCTGGTTCATGGCCACTCAAGCAACCAAGGACGTCATGAAGGAGGTTATTCTTCGATTGTTTTTGTAAGTTTAATTCGCCTATACCTTTAAGAATAAAGCGAAATTTGAGAAAAGAAAAGTTTTATTAAGTTACTACGTTCAGTGCATTCAGGTTCGGTGCGAATTACTTGCTCTTTATATTTATATCTCACATTTTACTCCTGCCGTTCGGACAAGTGTCCGAGTAAGATAATGTCTGTTTCGGCAATACTCTGTAAAGAGGCGTGGCTGTCGGCGATGTAGCAAATATCTCAGGTGTGCACACAGTCCCCAAGAGGCAGTGTTGTTGCACAACCACTTTCACAAATCTTAGTCCCGTCAAGGCTCGAAAATATTTATTTACAAAAGGTACAGGCGCCGACCGATTCTTCGGACTTCGCAGGGACCAAAAGAATGTCCGAATAATAAAGTGGCCTGAAAAATCAGCGAATTAAAAAACTTGCCTATATTACGTCTAAGCGGGCTTAAAAAAGCTGTGAATAGTGCCTTGCTTGAGGTTACGCCTCGGCTTGCGTTCGGCCACTTTCTAATCGCTTGAGAATCGCCGCCTTACTTTCTAGCGTTATGCTCACATACTTTCTACTCTTCTTATAACCGATTCACACGATGGACGAAATTGCGATTTTTGTCCGTGAATTATGCACCACGTGACCGTCATGTCACCAATTCCTGCGATCCGCGCCTCGTCCGCGAACTGGTAAGGTTGAGCGCCTTTTCACTTGCAGGTTTTTGGTGGGAGATTGACTTGAAAAGCGTTTAGTTTGGCAATGGTACAATATTTCCTTGATTATATTGTTTTCGGAAGATTAGGATTAAAACAAAAATGGCACATCAATGTGTTTTGTGCGGTTGCTGGTTTATTTTGTTGTGCGATACTTGGTTTCATGAGTGAAAGAAACTGCAGAAACTTTGCCCGGCTGACACGACGCAGGTTCCGGTACTCATCCGGGTCCATGCCAAGGAGCATCTGTCAAAACCCCTCTAGCACGCCGCAATATTTCCTGCATGCTTAATCAGCTTTCACCGAGCAAGACCTTTCTTGTGGCTGTGGTGTATTTAAGTGTTGCACATGAGCGCGGCTCCAAATGCCCCTCTGCGAGCCCAGAACTTTGTCACTTCTATGCCGAAGCCTTCTCGAGCAGAACCATGCCTGTGTCACTATCACGCCTTGAGTTAGTAAAGCTAGTGGCGCTTCGTGCAAAGCTTATCACAGTGTCTTGTCTCAGCCTGTACGTAACAGCAGCGGTAGCAAACGTCAATTTCTCTCTTGAACAATGGTGCCACGGTGCGATGTTTGAGTTTCGCAGCACCATGGGGTGGCGAACAGGTTCGGTCCGTCCTTGCTGGCGTCAGCTCGCCATCTCCCTCGTGTGGATACACTTGGGAGAGGGACAACCGCGGACATGTCGTCACGTGATCAATCCGTCCGCGGATCAGTCGATAGTGTAAATCAGCCATTAGCGACACTTTGCGGCGGAACAACAGATGGGGCCATGACGCTCAAGCCAGTGTAGTCAGAAAACATGATTCACCCAGACGAGATGAGAAATGCAAGTCCACGACTGCAGAATGGCGAATGAACAAAGCAAAATGGTAACAACGATGATGATAATGAAGTGCGGTAGAAAAGCCATAGCATAGAGTCCTCTAGCGGTAGGACTTAGCAGCACTCAAGTAGCCCTGCCAAACCAAGCCAATCCATGAGCAGCCAACATTAAATCTAAAATGGCGGCTTCTTGGTGGTGTTTCGCGCTGATCGCTCGCGACGATTTTGTCTGAAAAATTAAACTTTTAAACTTCAAGCTGTCCGAAACATCGGTCATGAATATTCATTATTTCTATTGGGTAGGTCACGGTTCCTCCTTTGGGTCCAAAATATCAGAAAGTCTGAATTATCGGCGTCTGAAAAATCGGTCGGCGACTGCATATCTAAAAAGTATAACGCCTCCCGTCAATGTCAACGCCCCAGATATAAAACATGCATACAAAAGACGAAGTGGGCAGAAGAAACTTGAAAAGGAACCTTTTGATAGCCTCAGAGTGGCACCCCACACCTCACTAAGAGGCTTGGTTTCGTCAGGGCACCCAATATCTAAGTGTATTTCACACATTTCACTTCGACTACTTCAGAGGGTGAAATATTTTAACTCGTATAAATAATTGAGGAGGAAACGAGGTGATCTGCACAAATGAGACGACGGATGCCATGCCAATGAAAAATTCCGAATGCTGCAGCCCTCACTCCGAATGGTTGCTCTCCCAAGAATTCCTCTTCTCAGCATGATGGGAAGCCACGCCACGTGACAGTCTCCTCAACGGTGTTGTTGACGGGTATTTGACGCCGGGAGAAGAAGTCCTGAAAGAGAAGCGTTTTTACGTGCAGTCCCAATTTGAATATACCATGCCAATGCAAAAGTCAGGAAGCATACAATAAACATGCTCATGAATACAAGTCTTCATCACTAGTTCAAAATTCAGTCTCAGCAGGAACAGCGGTAATTGTTCATAAACAAGAACAAAAATATTATACTGGCTTAAGCATTATTTGTCCCACACATGCCACTTGACGGCTGAGAGGAAAAGATAAATGTTTTGGCTCGGCCAATTTCCTCACCAAAGTATAAAAATAGCACAATGTGACTAACGCATATTCCACTGTGCTTGTGCACTAGCGATTGATAACATTGCTCTAACGTTTCTTGTTCAACACCAATATAACTGTCTTTCTAGACCTTACATATTCCAATTTGTTAAAATTTGAAACCTTAATCAAAAGTCAGATCACGAAATCAGTACGCATACATACACTAGCTGAGATTGCCCAGGCTCGCGGATTTTAAATCTAAGTTTAAATATGAGGTATTTCTGTTTTTGTATTTTTTATAATATAGCAATACATCATCCCTAGTTACAGAAAATAAATAAAACTTAAGCAGTGTCTATCGTTACGTCCGACGGAACCCGAAATTAAAATTAATGTTAAGTCCGACGTAACTTTACGTCAAGGTTTTGAGTTACGTCCCACGCAGCCCAATATGAACATTAAAGTTACGAAGGACAGAACTCCAAATAAAAATTAAAGTTACGTCCAACGGAACTCGAAATAAAGAACAAAGTTATGTCCAACAGAACCCGAAATAAAAAATTAAAGATACGTCCGATGTAACTTTCTTTACCCTGAGGTTTCGAGTTACGATCTGTGTAACCTACGGAACTTTATTGAATGTTACACTTTGTGGCCGAAACACACAAAAATATTATAAACTACTTCTGCATTACGTCCGATGCAGCATTCGCAAATTGGTTAAAATAGCAGCTCTATCCATAACTTCAGGTTTGTTGAGGGGGTGGGAGTGTGTTCCTCGTATGTAGAGGCTGTGTAGGCCGGGCAAGTTCGATACCCGCCACGTAAGTTAGTTTTTTCCTGTTTTTTCCCTTTTTGTTCAGCAATTTCTTTCTCCTTTAAGAGGAGGTTTTTTTGTTTTTTTTTCGATTTGTTTTTGATATGAAACCACTATAGATGCGACACACAAAAGAAAAGAAAAACATTACCAAAATGGAAACCGCAGCACGCATGCTGCGAGCCTGAGACCCTGATATATCAGTGTTGGGGTGTTGGTTCAAAAAACAGATTGAGGGCCCATTGTATCGTCTAAAGCGTCTAATGCCCCTATATGTGCGTGATCTAGAAAAATCGTGCTGCTTGTATGTTTAGACAGTTTTGATGCTAGTACACCTCCACGGGTGACTCGTCTCATAGCTGTAGATGAGAAAGTTAGTCAGTGCAGCACAACCACTAACCCTCTGGGGTCTTTAACGCGCACCACGCAGTAGTTCTTACACGGACGCCAAGCAGGTACCACGACCTACGCCGGTACGAAACTCATCCAAGTCGAAACGGGCAGCGGCTGGGGGTAACTATGTTTTGTTTTGAGCTCCGTCGGACGTAACTTTAATTTTCAGATTGGGTTCCTTCGGACATAACTTGAAACCTTGGGGTAAAGCTAGGTCGGACGTAACTTTAATTTTGATTTGAAGTTCCGTCGGACGGACGTAACCGTAACACTATACACTGCGTAAAACTTAAACATAATAAACTATAATAAGTAGAGAATAGAAATAGTTAAATAGACCTGGAATTCACACACATCTTGGTGGGTATTGTGGTGCTCGGCCCTCCTAATTTTAATGAGCTACAAAAATTACGTAAATACATAGTTCACATATTAATATTAAACACATTAAAATGATACACATTTCATGATTAGTAATTTCTAACTCCATATTATTTTCTCCTAAACAGGACACTTTCAAGAAAAAACATGGATCATCCTCGTCGTTCTCTTCCAAGATTACCAAAGGGCACAGACCATGAAGGACAGAAATCAATATTAAAGCAATAGACTTCTAAACAGCAACAATTTAAATCATTTATAACACATGCCCGAATGAGCTTCTAGGTCCGTTCCTGATCCCGTGGTTTTGATGCCCCCAGTTTTTCTTTATAATTGGCTTTAATAACTCATTTCCTTTTCGGTCATTGGACCCTATTTGTTTATTTCTGATTAGTTTAAACCTGTTATGCCATTTGGAGGTGCAGGTTGAAAGACACACCTTTGTTTTCTCATTTTTTATATGCGGTTAGAAATTGTAATTCTAATCGTGCATGCACACTCCAGGTGCACGAGGCGCTGAGGCATTGTCGGAGGAAGGAAGCTTGCGCTGGAGGTGGGTCAACTGAAACTCCTCCCTGACATTCTGACCTTGTCAATGTCTATATAAACATCGTGTTGCTCCATTTGTTCCCAAAAATGTGATGGCAATATAGCTACGCACAAAGGTGCTAAAAAGACAAGATGAAAACCTCCACCGAGCAAAAGCCCACTCACGCTTCGTTTCCATCTTTGGAAGGTCCGTCAAAGTCCAGCATGAGATCGTCCGAGCCCAGGCTCGAGCACGAGGATCCGTGGTCCGAGCAGAGGGGATGGTGGTCGTCGAAGGAGCTCCTATCCGGCCTGCCCTGCCGCCCACTGAAGGACTGCAGCGCGTGCAGCTCGAAGATGGACCGCTTTACGGATGGGGCCGCCCTTCCCTTCGTCCTCTCGAGGGCAATGAGTCCCGGCTGATCCGCAATGTCGTCGTCGATCAGGAACCCATCTGAAGATGGGCTCAGAAAGCCCGGTCCCTCCTGCTGCGTCTCCCTCTCCTCTTTGGTGGCGGCGAGCTGGGCCGAGGGCACGCCCTTGGCGGTCAATACGTCGCCAGACTCGCGTTCCTTCGTCGCGCTGTGAACCGACTTGGCTCCCTTCGTCAGGATCCCTTTCGCGATCACCGCCCTTGTCGGACTGTCGCGTGGCTTTGAGTCCTTCTGTTCCCCGAGCGACTTCCACTGTGGCTGCTCCACGCACTTCTTCAGCGGCGGAATGCGCCGGTAGGACAGGATGCCCCTGTAGGCTGCGTACGAGTCGGGCTGGTCGTAGACCCCCGTCTTCGGCGCTGCGCCGTCAACCGACGCCTTCCGGTCCCCGGGCAACGGCTTGGACACCGTAGACACTGGAAGCCTCTCGCCATCAACCGCTTCATCCGACCTCTCGAGCTCGGGGGAGCACTCTTCATGCAGCGCCATGCTGCTGCTCCGCCTCTTCCCGCAGTGCTCAATGCTCGCCAGGTGGTCGCTGAGCGAGTGCCCCAGTCCGGAGTCGTAGTCCGTGCTGTCCCCGCTGTGGCTCCTGTCCGAAATGCTCTCCTTGTCTGGCGAAACACGATGCACGCCCTTCTCCACACTCAGGTTTCCGATTGGTGAAGTCTTGGTCTTCTCGTTGACATTCCGCGTCGGTGGCGGTGGCACTGGCGCAACCCGGTTCGTGACAACTGCCACCTGCGGTTTGGGCAGGCCGCTCAAGTGTGCCGTGATCTTGGTCGGTATCTTGGTCGTGCCGTACTGTATCCGGACCTCGTCACCGTCGTCGGCACCGCCTTCCCGAGAAGACTCTTCGGTGCCAGACTCCAGAAGGTTGTTCGCCGCGTCCACCGTCGCCCTGTCAAGGACTTCTCTCTTGAAGGCCGTGAAGTCACGGACCGGATTTCCCTCCACAAAATTGTTGTTGTTGTTGTTGTTGTTCAAACTTGTGTTGTCCGTGTTGTCGTTTGTGCCTCTCCTCCTGCCTCCCCTCCCCGTCGGAGTGTCCAAAGGTGGTGGCGGATTGGCGGACCTGGCAAGACGAGCGAGATTGGAGGGGTGCTTCTCGGCCACCTGGGCGGCGCGATATTTTGTCGGCGGCGGGATGCATCGCTTGAAGGTGGCCTCGGCGGGTGCCCCGGCACTGGCGCCGCTTCCCCGGGCGTAGGGTGTAGGCCGCGGGACGCGTAGGGCACTGTCCTGGGACGACGAGGTCGACATGGGAGCAGACGAGTACGGCTGGGACGCGGACTTGCTCTTACTGGAGTAGCATGTGCCCATCAAGACATGAAGAGGTGTGCAGGAAAGAAAAAGGCTGCAAGCACAAGGGGAACCTCGTGTGAGCTCGCACAAGTCTCTTCTATGAGGCAGGTGGATGATATTAAGGATGCAGGCTTTGCTGGATTAATAGGGACTTCACAGAAAGCACTAATGAAGTGTACTAAAGGGAACAAGGTTGAGACTCTGGGAGGTACTCAGTTGCTTTCTGCCCATAAAAATCGACATGAAACTTGGTGTAAAGAGAAATCTTCGGTTGTCATTATAGCCATATGGCTTGCTGCAGAAAACAGCAACTATTGAATTCAGAAAAAGCCACAATGAACAATAAAGTTTGAAATTGGATGTATAGGGCATCTGAAGTCACCAGACCCCAATCTAAAATGGACCGTAAAAATCGACGCCTGCACGAAGCAATCGAAACATTTTGTCAAAGGTGTATTTCAAAGGTCCGTTTTTTCTTGTAAAATTACTAAGAGTAGCTCTCTTTCTGTAAGAAATAGGACCAAAAAACTTGCCAAGGTCAACGGCGAGTGGGGACGTAGACGACAAAGTCGAGCGAAGGGGGCACGTTTGGCGCACGTATTGATAGATGGCGCCAACTCCTTATCGAGACTGCTCGCGACGACCGTGATTTACTAAAATTAAGATAATCTTTTTGGTTTAAAAATAAAGGCAAAAAAGACATCTTGAGGTTAAAAAAAAAAAAACAGCGATTGCATAAAAACAACGTTCTTGCCGCCGACGGATTTCGTCTGCGTGTTGTCTGCTTTCTTTTGATGGTCGGCTACACCTACAGATGCTACTTCCGATGACGTCTGCCAAACGCACCCCGCCGCTCGATTCAGTCGTCTGCGTCGCCGCCCGCTGTTGACCCTGGCAAGTTTTTTGGCCCAATTTTTTATAGAAAAAGAGATACGCTTTGTAATTTTGTATAAAAAAAATTGACCTATCAAATACACCTTTGATGAGAAGCTTGGATTGCGACATGCAGGCGACGATTTTTACGGCCCATTTTAGATCAAGCCTGGTGACTTAAAGGGTAACTGCAAAGAAACAAAAGTGTATTTTTAAACAGCCTAATTGGGACAAGCATGTCACAAAACAATTTTTAAGCCAAAGGCAGAATTTTTTACAGCAATATTTATTGCGCGAGACCGATTTAAGTTTGCGGCTATTTCGTCCGTTTTAAATCGCGTGCCACAAAGCTGGTATCCTACGTCACGTAGTGGCTGCTATCGTGACGTATAACAGTCACTCCGCGCGCGTCGAAAGAGCGAGAGTTTCAAATGTGGAGAGGTTGTGACTTCGATTAAATCACGTCTTGTGGCGTAAATATTGCTATAAAATATTTGTTTTTTCGCGGAAGATTTGTTTTGTGACATGCTTGTCCCATATAAGCTGTTTAAAAAAAAAAAAATTTTTTTTTCTTTGCAGTTACCTTTAAACCCTATGATATACGTAAAGCAGGTTTCCTAAAATTTAAATATGTTCTTTTAACAGCGGAGCTGTTAAGGGCTAGTTTCCCAGGATCATGTCCGTCCTCAAATGACCTGATGACACAGAACTCTGGACAGCTACCGTCATCTATGAGCGACGGCAGAAACCAGACAACCAGCTTGCCGGTTGCCTGGTTGCCGCCGTCGCTCATAGGTGGTGGCAACCTTTCGAGCCTTTCCACTCTGGCTTGCCGACTTGCGGCCGGCCATTACTTCATTCCCACCATAGTACAGCTTCGCTGGTCTTCCTTCTTCACCAGAGTGGAAAGGCTGAAAGTTTTTTCTTTACAATTACTATTAAGGCAGTCATGTTTTCAAAGAATCCACGGCACCGTCATTATCAGCTATTTTGAAGACTTGAAGCAAATAGGGACAATCAAAGAATATAAAATTTAAAAAAAAAGAAAAATATCTTGTACAGCATATTCAACAGTTGGGCTTCAACACTAACACAACAAAGGGAAAGGTATAAAAGAAAACAATTTTTTAAGGGGTCATAATTGTGTGCAAGATGACTAAAATGTGTACAAATCATTCTTTTTTTACTAGCGAATAGTTTGTTAAATTACTGAAGCCCCATGTGCATGCCTGTAGGAAAGATTCAAAGTAGATAACTAAGATAAGGCAATGAAGAACATACATGCAAAGTGCCACATGTCTTTAGAACCTTGCTTTAATAAAATTACTGTTGGGGACACCCACCTACGCAGCATGTGTATCTCAAGCCCAAAATACTTTTTGGCATTTTGATCATTCAGGAAATGATTCGTTAGGTTGTTTTTAAACCACAAACTTATTCGCCATGACATTTGACATCTTGCAATTTAATTTATGAGCCACAAGGGTCAGAACACGTGAAGCAGTCCGCAGGCCGCCACTCGCTGGGACGCAGCCCGGAGCCAACCGACTGCGAGCCCCTGTTTTCATGTCTCAAGAGCTAGAAATGACATACACCATAATCCCCTCAAGTCGTCAATTCATTTCTGCTGATAACATACATAGATCTGCTCTTATACATTTTATTTGCCTTGTGTTTGGTGTAGTTTTTGCTTTCCAGCTTTTCGCCATCTAAGGACCTATGCAGCAATTCCTGTACTATTCTCGCCTTCAGAAAATATCACCATTAAAATACAAGTATTTTCCGAGATCGCCGCTATTAAGATTGTAGGAAAGCAGGAGCTATTGTATGAAGAATATGTTCTTTCTTTTTTAGAGACACAATAAGTTTGACTAATTTTTGAGTGAACTGAGCAACGAGAGAGACAGTGTGATTACTCTCCTGTGCTGTTAAAAAATGCCAGCACGTTGGAGGGGTGGCGCCATTCTAACTTTTATCTCAACAGATAAGGACCCAAAGTAGTCCTATAAACAAATCTAAATTAAAGATGTCACTGACAAAACTGTGAGTTTACAAAAAACAGAGAGCACGAGTTTCCTTATAAAATTTTGTAACACCCCCTTCAACCTTGCATCTGCCCTTGACTCTTTCGGGGGTGGGCAATCTGGAGCCCACAATCAAATAAGTTTGAGACTCCTGATGTATCACTTCATCTTACTCCAAAGAAAATGTATGTTCAAAAGAGTGAATAATAAAGATGACTAATATAAAGAGGTAATACTCCGGACATTTGTTTCTGCTTCTCCAAAAAAATATGATATAGAGGGACTAATAAACAGATGAGAAATTAGAGGTTGGATTGGTGATTATACTGTAAAACCTTTCAATTTCATGAATCTTGCGAATTGAAAATTCCCGACAATTAAGTGCACGCGACAATTTCGGTTCTAAAGAGTTTCAATACAGGTGTCTGGAACTCACAAAATTTTGTGGCCACGATTATGTCCTCTGTGGCCCATTCGCGAAAAATAAGGGCCGCGAAAAGAAAGGGTTATACCGTAATTTAGAGGGATCATTAAACGGACGTCACAATTATGTGTCCAGTGCTGCAAGTAATTACTGAATGCACGTCTTCCCCTTTTTTTCTCTCTCCTTTTCTTTATTTCTGGGGGTCTACGGCCCCATTTGGCATTTCTCCCATTCGACCTGCACCATGACTGACAGAACAGACTATCAATCACGAGTCATAATGCCCTTCCACCGCCACTTTTGCAACGGCACTGAATGCAATAGTAACATAAGATCATTTGTAGAAAAAAGATAATTGGCTGCAGAGACAGGGAAAGTTTTAGTCTCACTGTTTATTGTTTTGCAAGGCTAGCACGTTAAACAAAAACTGATACTGTAAACGACTTAATTTTCGCAAAGACCTAATGTTTGTGAATTTCGCGAATTGCCTACAATTCGCGAGAAATAAGTCCTGCAAACAATTCCGGTAAAATGTAAACACACGGGAGTCTATATTGAGATCCCACCGCGCCGCGAAAATTAGAACCCGCAAATTATTCCAAAACTTCAGCTTTTATCTAAATTACAAAATATTGAGCCTGCAAAAAATAAGTCATTTACAGTACCTATTCCATAGAGTACGCATTAATTGGACACCATATGAAAAACAAAAAAAGCTATTAAAGTTCCTTTAATATATCGTACAGAAACCAACATTGTTTTCTTCAACCTTTGTTGAATACAGGTAAAACTATAAAATCAAATTAGGTCATCTGCTCAGTGAATGCCAGAGGGGCCTATTCAGGAGGGCCATTTGGGTCCCTTGAATAAAGCTGCCTGGGCCCTCTCTCCTGTCTCAATGTGAGGGAAAGTGGGACTGGGTGACACAGCCGAAAACATTCAGGCATTAGACAGCCCCCCTGCACTCTTCACAATCCCATTTCGTGTTGGTCTTGACACTTGTCATACAATTATCATTGGATGTTGAGACATCGGAAATACCACATAATTAAAAACGGGAGAAAGAAAAATTAGTTGTCACTTTTAATATAAACTTCAGTTTTCAGACCATATACATAGATTCCTGCACCAATGCAAGCTTTATATATATATATATATATATATATATATATATATATATATATATATATATATTTCTTTTTTTCTCTTTTTTTAATGGTAACTTTATTTTTTTGTGAAAATGCAAAACAAATTAAATAAACTGAGCCATCCAGTGATGAGAGCACACATAAAAATGAAAATGCAGAAACCAAAACACAAGTCGAGAATGGCGGCATGAATGACACGCATGATTAGTATGCGAGAAGTGAGGTCAGATTACAAAGATGTATGATAGCGTCATTAATGGTTTCCCCTCTACCTGAATTAACCCAAGGTTGTCAACTTGTGCTACTTTGAATGCTAAAGTAATGCTAATATGTTGCACATACAGTCGCTCATTAGACCTCCAGGGAAGTTTTGTCTAATTGCGGTGGCATCAATACATTCAAAGATCCAGGTGTCTCTCTTTTTCGTTCTTTTGACTCTTCATTCTTTTGACTTTCAGGGTTTTCACCAATAATGTATTTCATATTGTTTGATTTCATTAACTATTAAAGGGATACTGAGCTGAAATTCAGATTTTGCAATATAAGGCTGCAGAAGTGTTGAACAGGATGCTACAAACTCCAAAACATCCCTCATTCATCGATACCTCGAACGTATAACCATACTTTTGAAAAAGAAGGCCGCAATCAAGCAAGGACTATGACGTCATGGTCCTCCTGGAACATTTAAGAATACAGGGAAGCGGCCTCGCTTCTCTCCTCCTCGCTTCGGTTCACCAGCTCAACGGGACATAGAGAGGAGGAGAGGGAATGAGAATTGTGACGTGACTTGTCGGCTGTATTTAATCGAGCACCTTTTTTTAAAAATATGGCGATCCATTAGAGACGGGCACGTAGCCAGGGGGGAGGCCCATGGGGCCCGGGACCCCCCCTCCCAAATTTTTTATTTTGCTGTGAAAGGCAGGACAGAATGTCGGTGATATAGAAACAGGGCCAGAGATAGATCGAATAAGTGATACCGTACCCCCCCATGCCACAACTGACAATAACAAAAGAAGGAATTCTGTCAAAACTGTTAGACCTCGACACAAAGAAAGCATGTGGTCCAGATAAGATACCGACTACTTTTTTCAGGAGGTATGCGGAATGGATTTCGTTTTATTTACATTGTTTATTTGTAAGTTCTTTACAGTCATCCCAGCTTCCCTCTAATTGGCGGTGTGCACGTGTTGTCCCGATCTTTAAAACGGGCGATAGACTGGCCATAGGCAACTACAGGCCAATTTCTTTAACAGCTGTAGCATGTAAAGTCATGGAGCATATAATAGCAAAACACATATTTCATCACCTTGAAACTAACAAGTTGCTTTATTCCGATCAGCATGGGTTCCGGTCTGGACTTTCGACAGTAATGCAACTGGTTGAGGTAACCCATGACATACCAGCCACACTTAATGATAAACAACAGGTTGATGTTATTTGTATAGACTTTTCTAAAGCCTTTGATCGCGTACCTCACAGGAAACTAATATTAAAGCTTAAAACAATTGAAATTCACTCAACGATTACCGGATGGATAGAGTCATATCTAACTAATAGAAGCCAGTATGTAGAAATTAACGGCCACGCCTCAAACCTTCTTCCAGTTTACTCGGGCGTGCCCCAAGGCTCTGTCTTGGGGCCATTGCTGTTCTTAATATATATGAATGACATAGTACATGACACTCCATCAGACATTCATATAAGGCTCTTCGCCGATGACTGTATTATTTACTCAGCTGTTAATTCAACCGATCGACAAACTTCACTAAATGAATATCTTAAACGAATTAAAGAATGGTGTGACAAATGGGATATGAAAATAAACTACACAAAGTCCGTGTATTGCCACATCACTAAGAAGCGAAGCGCTTTGCCATTTAAATACTGCATTGGAGACATAGAATTGAGTAATGTCGAGCACTTTAAGTACCTTGGTGTCACGTTTTCTAAAGACCTAACCTGGACCAAGCATATTGACACCGTCTGCACATCGGCATATAAAAAGCTTTGTTTTTTGAGACACAAGTTAAAACATACAACTAAAGAGATCAAAACGGTTGCTTATAAAACATACGTTAGGCCCATCTTGGAATATGGTAGTGTCGTCTGGGATCCTTATACAAAAAAAGACATTGATAGGCTAGAAAAGGTCCAGCGACAAGCTGCGCGTTTTATTCACTCTAACTACAGACAGACAGCATCCCCAACAGAAATGCTCAGAGTTAGTAATATAGAACCTCTGCACATAAGGCGAGAAGTCGCACGTCTGAAATTGCTTTATTTAATGATCAACGACAAACTAAATTTAAGCCCGAATAAATACGTTCTCCCATCCAGCTCAAAACGATCAAGTAGATTGAATCATACAAAAACATGTCAAACTTATAAAAGCCGAATAGATACCTTTAAACAGTCTTTCTTTGTAAAAACTATTGAGGCTTGAAATTCCTTGCCCAATGATGTTGTAAATTTGGAAACCGTGTCCTCCTTTGAAGATTCCATTGCAAAGCTGTTAACATAATGAGAGCTTAAAGTGATGTCCTTTAAGTGTGCAATTTGTAATAATTATGTGGGTCAATTTGTTCAATTTGTTTATTTGTTTAGAGGGCCAAGGTTGTGCATTGTTGTCATTGCTTGTTCTAACAGCAGTGTCTGCTACATTGACAATTTCTTATGCTTGCGTCTTTTTTTATGTGTCATCACAACGATGGATACTCTCCCTGTAATAGCCCTCAAGAGAGGGCTGACAGTATTTTCAAATAAATAAAAAATAAAATACAGCAATTTGTCATGGGCAAGCCCCCCCCCCGCCCCCCCGAACCAAAATCCTGGCTACGTGCCTGATTAGAGATATTGCTGTTGAGTGATGTCTTTTAGTTTAGAAGTATTCCGCCTATCCGTACAGCCTTGTTTTGTGAGTTCTAAATTTCGGTTCAGTATCCTTATAACGTATGACCGAAGCACAATAAAAATATTCGAACTATATATAAAGAATATGAAAAATAAATGCCCGTTTATACCTCAGTAGTGCAGTCGAAAATTCCATATTACGATCCTCACATTCTTTTTGGACTCTTCAAGTTTAGAAATCAGACGCAAGACACCCATCTTCAAATACAAAACATGAAAAAAAAAAAAAAAGACTATTGTTGATACTTAGGTTTCCTTCTTTTCTTGGGTTACCTGTAGAAAATGCTAATTAAATCAATCGAGCCAGAAGGAGGTGGACCAATGAACACTTTTATAGTGTCGTAAAGCCTCAGAAGCAGTAAAACAAGTTTAAAACAAATAAAAAGACCCCTGCAGTGACTACCCACTCGAGGCATCTAAAGTAACATGTCCCACCAATATCACAATCATGCAAGTTAACGAGTGGGACCAGAATTATTTATTCAGCCTCTCAACATTGGCTAGTTTTGTAGTCCCTTCACTCCACCACCATATCCATTTTGATTGTCTCCGAATATGCAGAAGTTGGTTGCCCCTCCAGTGACATCCGACCCTCTTCCATCCGGCAGAATCACCGGCAGAATCACGCAAGCCACAGGAGCCCAAACAAACAAAAACTTTGAGTTGCAGCAGCGTGTGAGGAGACCTCTTCAAGTGTTTGCCCAATTTGCAGGTTGCAACGTTTGTAAACAAACGTGCAAAGAGATTAAGGGACCCAGCTGGTCCTTGGGCCACTGTACTACTTCAAGGAGAATTTATATCTGGAAATGCTTTTATCATAAAATCCCCCAAAGGATGCTCACTGAAGATATTATTTATTCTAAGTTTACATTTAATGGTAAATTATGTCTGTCTTGCTGATGCATGTTTGTTATTTTAAAGGATGCCAAGTGGCAAGAACCAAAGTTAGGACAATGCCGAGTAAAATGGTTCTACAATCTCGAAGAAAATATTAATGCTTACCTAGATGAATTAATGCAGAGATGAGAAAACTGTCGATTTTAATTGTTTTGAAACCCTTAATATTGCATTTTGATTAGAAACTACCATCAAAACGTTGTTCTTATCTTTTATTAAAAAATTAAAAAAAAGATTACACCCAAAGATACGTAAACACTCGACATGCTAGCAGTTTTAACTACACTTTATAAGTGCCAACTATAACCTATTGGCATTCTGCACAACAACGTAATATGTTCCGAAAAGTGGTACGACCATGGTCAAGAAGAAATTTAAAATTATTATATTCCACCGATTTCGGTGGTCAAACGAAACTTCCGATTACTGAATCTTGTGCCGCCTGGGCACACATACTGGTTTCCCGATTGTCAAGTGATTCTTCTTTTCAGCTCACAACAACATCGGTGGTGCCGAGATACTTACCGAGCCAGACCCGCTTATTTCATTAGCACTTATCAGCCTGCAAGTTCGGTCGATTAGAACCAATTGTCGGAGGGGAAACACGGAGGCTCGAGTCACGGCCGATGTCAAACAAGCCACAAACACAAGCACAAATAAGAACTTGCTCACTCACTTGATTTACTGCACAGGGGATCGTTGGGCCTCACAAAATAGAACGAAATATGAAATCGATAAATAAGCAAGACAAGCGAAAACCAGTGAGGCTACTCCCACCACCCACAGCTGTCAAACGTTTAATCCCACGGACCATATGTAGAACCAAACAATTGTGTTTTGATCGAGGTGATCACATCTGTGGCTTCTTGGCGAGAGCTTGGCGGTACAGTCAACGACACACGCTTCGAGGATGGGATTTCACACGCGAAAAGTATCACGCGGGCGCCAACCCAACGATCCGAGTGCGTCGAACTGACATTTGGCAGCCCGTCCGTGGTTCCCGCAAATTCTACACTCACCGCAAACAGAACGAACTTAACGCTAATAAACCCTGTTTTGTATTCGCAGTATGTGTTTCTGCCGGATGACGCAGAGAGTGTACTGGGGTGCCGAGACGACAGTAATGGTAGTTGAAAATTGAATAGGAACTCCGGGTATTCGATCACGTACCTGAAAATTCGTCCGTAGCTCCGTGGCCGCGTTGCCTGTTTTCATGAATAACTATAGTATTGCACGGCGAAAAACGAATATATTACGTCTCCCACATATTTACCGCGTCATATACGCGATCGGCATTCAATTATATGTAGAAAAAAACACGGAAATGCCGCGCACACACATGCACAATCAGCCAAGACCACCGCGAAAAAACAACCTCAACGTATGCGCGGCATTGGCCGTTGACGCAAAATTAAGAAATTGAGAATGTGCGTCAGGGGGCGCTGGCAATTTAACAATATTAATAATATTCGTCACGAGGTAGATTTGTACGTTGTTTTCATAAAAATAAAGTATTTATAATTGCTTTAATACATTTTTTCATCTTAACCAAAATGTCCTCACATATATATTGTCGAAACAATTCGATATTTACATTTTTGTTTTATCACAAAGAGTAAAGCTATACGCACTCCGGAGTGCGCTTCGCGCGGAAATGGCTATACGCACTCCTCCGAGAGATCATGCCCACAGTGATCATGCCGCTCGGGCCACCCTTTTCGAACGGCGCGTGAATCACTGGGGCCTGCGGATAGGTTGAGGCTAATGGATGGGGAGCAATGGGCACGAAAGGTTTTCAGCTATTTATACATGAGGAGTGTAGACACAAAGTGGAGACAGCGCACTAGGAAATTAAGAGGAAAGTTTTTGGGCTATAGCGAAGATACGGAAGAGCAAGTCTCAGTTAAGAAGAAAGTTAAGGCCACAGAAAGAGATCGGTGGCTAGAGGGAATGCAGACAAAGACTGCTCTGGAAAGCTATAGATTAAACAAAAGAGTTATTGCCAAAGAAAGCATTTATGACAATTCTAGGGGAAGCTCATTGCTGTTTGAGGCAAGAACGGGTGTTCTGCGAACCAGAACATACAGAGTGAAGTACCAGGAAATTGATACAGTGTGCACTGCTTGTGGAGAGGAGGACGAGACGGCTGAGCACTTGATACTCTACTGTAAAGGGCTTCACCCTATGCCTACCGAAGACAACATAGATTTAATAAAGTCATTGGGTTTTAGAGACAGCGAAGGGAGAGTGGATTTCAAGACTGTAGAGATTACCAAGCAAAGATTAAGTGAATGGTGGCAGAAATCGAGAGAAAACTAGGTATTTTCTTATTCACTGATGGCAAGGGGGTTTCATAGCCTCACTTTCTTTGCTCGGCGGAGTGAATATAGATTACACATTTAAATATTCTAAGCTTAAATGGTAAAACAAAATGGCTAGGTGGCGCAAGCTACCGCCCGATCCAAAGGGCTCAGCCGTATTCATCCATCCATCCATCCATCCTGCGTTCACGCCGCTTCGCGGCGACAGTATCGGCTGCTAATTACAAAGCGTAACCAGTACACGCACGAGCGATTCGGAGGAGGAATAATGGCAAATCACGTGACCCAACGTCACCGGAAGTGACGTCACAAATATAACGTCACGTGACAAAAAAATTTTGTTTTGCTTGTTTTTGTTTGTTTTGTTTTCTGTGACGTCACGGTTTTTAGCGAGGAAACTTTTTGTTATTTTTACTTTGTTGACGTCGGGTGACCGCGTTTTCTGCGCTACAGACTGCGCTTTTCTGACTCCTTTGTTTGATATCGTGTCGTATCGTCGTATTTATGTAGTAATTAGGAACGGCAAGCCTACGTTGTTGCGTCCTTTACCTGAATATCGTGACCGAATCGAGTGTCGTCGATTTGAATCGTGTCTTGCGAACCATCGTCGAACAAAAGGTGAGTGATTTACGTTTTCCTGTGATGTGATTTCGATGTGTTCGGTCCACGCGTCCGAGCTGCTTCTTCGTTTCAAATACATTTGGCGCCGCTGCCTATTGTTTGAGCCTGTGCTCACGATGAAAACACGCATCGCAGAAAGCTGAAAGCCCGCCAAAAGAGCTCTAAAAACCGCATACTTCCGACCCCAGACCTGCCGGCAGACTTCCGAGATAAGCCTGATTAAATAAAAACGTTTGATCCGACGGAATAATGTGTTTAATATTACATCCCATGTCAACAAGGAACTGCGCTGTCTGTCTTCGCCCCTACAGGTTTTATTCTTCCGGGTTTTTCAAATCTTTACAAACCCGCGTCCGATCGTAATACCCCGATCACAACAAATAGTTGGTCGTGCTCCGATGGCTCCTAACATCAGCCGGCAAGGAAGTTACGTTTTTCGCTTCTATATTTTGACCCAAGTAACCCCATATTCTCAAACTATGTCATTCTATCACCACCTCCAGTTGCACATTCTGGCGCACTTGCAGCTTCGTGCACCCTTGCGAGGTTTCCTGCTATCGTACCCTGGATATCATGGCTTTCTCGCCGTACGCGAGAGCTCACGGAGGCGTGCTATACGCTCTGTATCATAAGTTGTGTGCAGCAAAGGCGCAGGCCCGAGCACATGACAATAAAAAGCGCCTTTTTTGCACGAGTACCCGCGCAAAAAGAACATTCTGCAGAGCTGCGCCCTCGCACCCGTGCGTTCGCTGCACACAACTTATGAGACAGTATAATAACCGAGCCGTTTTTGTTTCTTTTGCACATTACTGTGAAAGAAGTGTCATTGCTGTTTTCTTCTCAAAGAAAACTCGGAGACGTTAGACAAAAGCAAACAGATAGGAGACTGCACATTCACACGTTTTTCCCCCTTGTGCTACAGGTCATGGCTGGTCGCGGTTCATCAGCGTTTGTTTTGAAACTGATGGGTGCCACAAGGCATGAAAGAGGTGACTTGCAGCAGCAAGACACCGCAAGCCTTCGCAGCAACTGGCTAGCCAGTGCTGCTCTGTTCTGAACTGTACTGCGTGTCATGTGGAGGGTTTGTGCAAGCTCTCTGGGCGGCGACGCTAGCCACGGTAAGTGCATTCTATGCAGCTTTCTTTTAGGGATATATGTGGCTCGCAGGCCATGTCGTGCCAGCGAAATATCTGCCACCCGAGTGACAGCAGTGCTAGTGGCAAGGCTGCGCTGACAGTAATCAACACTGCACTGTGTTTTCATTCTATAACTAGTGACAAGGAACCAAATACTCCCGAGAGAGTCTCGGTTGTGCTTTGATGAACTCCAGCTCGCTTATGAACAGGTGGATGGCACAGATGGCTTTTCCTGATGGACTTGGTGTCCGTGTTAACAATGCAACCAGACTTTCTTTCAGTTTGTGATGTTTTTTCGTTGCGGGTGACTGGCATTGCAGTAGAAAAAGATGCAAAATAGTATAATGTTTGCATTCGTTACCTAAATTAATGGCAAGAACAACTGACCTACATTTCCGCCGACTGCATTTCTCTGAGGAATCGCCTGGACTAAAAAGCTCGCTACACTATGTCGTTCCCTCTTAGCCTGTACAACTCTGCGTCTTCCCTCGATTGTCTTATGTGGCTGCTTCTGTGTCTGCCTAGGCACACGGTTGAAATGGGAAAAGCTGTCTGCGTTGCACATAACCGCCATAAGAGCCAGCGTGGGCGTAGCTGGGGTAGCCCCCGCTATGGCTTCTCCAGCTCGACACAAGTAACATTCCTACCGCTGTCGTGTTAGCAGAAAACGGACCTGCTTAAAACGTACAGTGCACATAGTACACAATGGAGAGGTTGCTCGCCAATAATTTTCTTGGAAGTGTGAGTTGAGCCCCTTTGAGGCAGTTTGCTTCCGCACCGTGCACTATAATCTGCCCGAGAAAACAAGATGAATAACCAGTAGGATTTCTTTGTTCCAAGGCTTCTTGACGCAGAAAAAGACTAGGGAACCAGTATTGTTGCTTTTTACTACCCCGTGCGAGACTCAAACCCGACATGCAAGGAAGTGGAAAGGCCTCTTCCTTTCTGCTTTCTTGTGCCTTGGGTTTTAGCTGTGCTCACAATTCACAGCTCGCCTGCATGCCTACTCTTTTGTTCACTGTGTTACTGAAGTTTTCTGTCGTTGCTGTCCCAGATTGGCTTCGTGGATGCACAGAAATACTCAAGGCGCTTGATGTCTGTGGCTCATTTTTTTTTTTTCCGGTACCACGGCATGAAGGAGCTGGCCTCCCTCCCTTCCGTCAGCTGCAATATACTACAAGCACTGGGCTACAGCTGCAGCTAGCCCATGGGTACCGTTCTGCGTCCTGTACTGCATCTAGTTCGAAAGGCCATGTGAAAGGCAGGTGTGGTCTTTATGGGCTCTGTGAGTATGTGCATTTTCTGCAGCTTTTTCGGGGCAACTTCATATTAAGATTCAATACGGACTCGAGTGAGAGGGGGGCATTCTGAGAAAGCCAGCCTCTTTGTTAAATCATTGGGACTGCTATTATATCTATAGAGTTTATTTACACCTTACGTTATGTACTTTTTCATTTATTTTTATTTTACTAGTTACTTATACTTCAATCTGACACGACAGCCACCAAAAATGTTGACATATTGGCCTTTTTTTTTTCTGTCAGTTTGTTTGAAGAGCCAATGTTGGGGGCGGTCAATCATGTTATATTTCCCTCACGCACGTCCAGCCTATGTTTACGTAAAGCCCAATTGCCCCTTAGCAACAAAAATAATTTATGCGACAGACTACACGGCAGCATTGTGGACGAAAACAGGCCAGATTATATCTGCCATGTTTAAAAACTACATTCGGCGACAGGTTATGAATTCAGTGGCAAGAATGCACACCGCCTGCCAATCGCTGCCGTCAGTTGTCCTGACGTCATGTCTGCTAAGAAACTAGAATATATTTTTTTTAAATGGCAGGTTTTCGTTGCTGACGCCACGTAGCATGTCGGCACTCTAAGCACTTCTTCTGCTCTTGGCCTCTCCGGTTTTACCTTGCGAAGTCATGACGGTGTCTGCTTTTGTTTGCAGTATTTCCCGTGTGTCGACGTGAGAAGGCAGCGGTTGTATCGCCAAGGAAGTAGCAATCAATCTGCGCGCATTTGTTCCAGCGGCACAGCGTTTACAAACCGGACTTTGCCCTTCACCGAGGGGAAAGTCTACCGACTCGCCCTACAGTTGGTAAGAATTGTGCAGCCGTGAGCGCGTAAGTTGTCCGAATGCTTTCGTCTGTATACAGTGACAAAATGACTCGCTGAAATGCGAAGTACCATACAGTACCATGCCGTACATCAAACCATCGATCACTTGCTGCAGCAACTTTGCGTTTTAAGTCGTAATAATAAACTGTATTTTAAGGCTAAAATCATTATTTCAAACTGCTCAATTATTCGGAATTCTGCACGATCCCCATCGGGT